TTTTTTTCTTGCTTCTTTTGTTGTCATTCGTGTATACACGTGTGTTTTTGTTTTGTTTTTTTTGTTTTCATGGTGTATTTCCCTTTGATTTCCCTTCATTTTGAAGTCAATTTCCCTTTGAAAATTCCATGTGTCTGGGTTGTGTGATGGGGAACACGGAAAGGGATTTGGGCTTTGTCTGTGTTGCACCCAAGAAAGAGAGGTCCCTTGGGCTTGAGAGTGTTGAAGGCCACTCAGGAGCCCATCTCCAAAGATGGAAACTGTCAACCTCCACCAGAGCCTACCCCAGGGCCTTCATCTGCCAAATCCAGGAGGCCTCTGTATCCTTCTAAAGTACAGGTGATTCTGTGGGATCAAGGACATGGAAGTACCATGGGGCAGCTCAGTGCAGGGCAGAGGAGCCCTGGCTTGGGAGTCAGGAGCCGCTGGCATTTAACCTCCCATCCTTTCTACTGAAAAGTCTCTGCAGCACTAACAGTTTGTCATCTTAACCTAAGCCAAGCAAGTGCTTTAGATGGTTTAAATCCAAGCCACTAAACTGACCTGAGAAGGAAAGGGATAAGCAACAGGAGATCAGGTGGAAGCCCAAGGAAAATGAGGAGTCAGGTGTCCCACATCTGTCCCTTCTGATCCACCTCTTTCACACAACCTGCCAGGCCAAGCCTGGGCAGACAGTAGGGATGAGATGGAAAGGAAGAGCTAATGTGAGAGTCTCTGTAAAGGAAGAACCCAAAATGCCTGGAAACTAGTCAGGCTAATTCTCACTAAAGTGATAGTGACTTTGTAGATATTTCCTTCCAGAAGTACTTTTATTTAGAAGGAAGACACTAAGAAAGAGAAAGAGATCATAACAGAAAGTCAATGCCTAGCCTAAAGGCAATACTTTCCAGTCCCAAGCACTACTCCTTCAAAACATGAGTTGACCGTTACACAAATTTTGGAAAACTGCTGCATACTATCTTTCTTGGAGGTTCACCAATTAACATCAACACTTTAACAGCTGGGAGAAGACTTGGGTTAAAAAGGCCTTTTTAACTTCGTTTAAACCATTGTTTCCCAAATGCTTCCATCACAAAACCCTTTCCCATCTCCAAGTAAAAACTATTAACATCCCAAATTCTGCACCGCAGCCTAAAGTCTAAAGCAATGTATCTTTAACAGTGAGATTTTAGGTACCTTCAAAAAAACAAGGAGTATCATCCCCATCTGGGTATCCCCTCCTCTCCCAACCCCCTTCTTTGACCCAGGCAAGGCCACTGGATAGATTTAGAATCCAGGAAAGGCCCAGGTTAGGGATAAGAGCATATCTGGGTGCCAACCAAAAGTAACATCAGAGAGCTGTTGACTGTTCAGGCCAAGGCTAAAACCTGAAGCCCAAGGACAGCTGCTGGCCATTGGGGGACAGGAACAGGCATGGGACAAGAGCATGAGATAAGCTCAGACTGAAGTGGGTTTTATTGTACCAGTCCCATAAGTGGTCTCTCTGGCATGGGGGTGTCTTAAAGACACCACACGATCTTACAGACTGGTACTTCCCCGAAGCATACCAGAAAGCCAGCCTTGTAAATAATCATGCATTTGGTTAAATGCTCACAGTCGCCAAGAATAGTAATAAGGAACTGAGACTATGGCCTGCTCTAATGTCAGCATTCATAACTAAGGGGCTATGGTACTAACTCAAAGGATAGAGAAAATTAAGATTCTACATTAAATGGGCACTGACTCTGTTAATTAGGGTAAGAAGTGGCTGCCTGGGGTAAAATGACACAATATAGACCCATTCTCCCTATTAGATTTGCAATGGAAGATGAATTATCTAACTAGCCAGTACAGATCACATTGTGTTCCATGCAGGACTCGGGTAGCACAGACCTGTCAGGATGAGAAAATAAGTCATCGTGTGCATGCACAGTAATCACCATCACAGAGAAGTGGGTGAACAAGTTCCACAAATTTTCCGGTAATAGGGACTAACGCTTGTTGAATGCTCACCCTGTGACAAGTGCCGGGCTAAGCACTTTACCTGGATTATCTCATTTAATCCTCACAGCAGCTCCATGAAGCTCAAGAAGGTTAAGCAGCTTGGCCCAGGTCAGGGATAGAACTGGCATTCAGCTCTGCAGTCAGTCTCCAGAGCCCACGCTTAACCATTGGCTCTTTCCATCCCTGCATCAGGCCCACTGAGGTTCCCCCCATCTCATCACATTCGCTATGTCCCCATGCAGCATCCTCTCCCCACAACGCGATCCCATCTGTTTTTCCTGACAGTTAGGTCTCTAAACCAGCACTTACCTAATAGGCTACTGGTAGGCTGAGATATGATGCTCCCCTACCAATCCGAGGGGCAGGAGTGTAGGACCTGGGGTGGCCACATCTTGGGCTGGTAGCCCTGGGTGCTAACCATGAAGCTACTGCCTCCCAGCTCCAAACTTACCCTCTGTACTTGGATCTGTGATGCTGGGGCTGGGGGGCCGCAAATACATTTCTCCTTTTACAGATGACTCCCCAGATGGTCCTCAAGTGAGGCATTGAAGGGAGACTAGGAGGCAGGAGGTGGCAGAGAAGACTTGCTCCTTCCCACATGCTGGCTGTTCCTGGCAGTGGTAACCTGGCATTGGCTCTTTAGCCCCACAGCAGCAGTGGATTCCAGTTTCCAACTTTTCCCTATCCTCCCAGAACCAGCCTTATTATGTCCCTCGGAGGTACCAGCAGCATCCAGGCAGTGCCCCTCCCCAGAAGCAGGTTCCCGGGTCCCTGGGCTCCATCCTCCAAGCTCCTAAGGTACCAGTGGTCCCCAAGCAGCAACCCCTGCTCAGAGGACTGGTCCTAGCTCCCGGGGACCCTTTTCCAAGCTCCAAGGTCTGATAATCCAAACTTCTCTCCTCTTTTCCCCAGCCTTAAGGAGGCAGCTGCAATTCCTCCATTTGGATTACTTCTGTCTTCTGTACTTTCTCAGTCCTAATGCTTTTTCAACCGATTCCCCATATTCAGCTCTGTCTGCTACTATAACTACAGTGGTTTCTGATGTCCTGAACTGGACTCTGATTAACATATCTGGTCATCTCAGTATGCCATAAAAACATCATTTTCTATGTGTGTCATGACAGTGAAAAGGTTTCAGAATCTCCATCCCCTCCATGACAACCTGGGCCCTAGAAAAGCGGCCATTAGATGATATAGACAGGGTTTATTCTCCAATATACATGCCCAAGAAAATAATTTCAAAATTAGAGTCAAAAGGGTGCTAGCGAGCATTTAATTGTTCTGGACACATGCCTAATGCCTAAGTCCTCCTGGAACTGGACACACAGATCAGCCTTGATTGTCATTTACACTGAAACCACAGGCATCTCTGAGAAGCAGGGGACAGCTTCTCTTCCGTGCTCCAAAGTTAAGCTATTATGACACAGGAAGGCTTAAATTCAGACTTCTTTAAATATTAAAAGCAGAAGTCTGAGATTGCAGCTGCATATTCAGCTTATCTTTTTTTCTGTTAATCAATCACCCAGTATTTATTGAGCACCAGTAGATGCCCGTCCCAGAAAGAGATGCACTTGCAAATGAGCGTGGAAGGCACCCGCTAGATAAGCATTCATTTCCCTTTACAGCCCTTCTGGGCTTTCAGTCACCGCTCAATAGGCACTTTTCATAACTCCCCATTGTTGTCAGGCTATTTTTATCCTTCCCGTACGAATCAGAGTATGACTTACTGTCCCACTGTTAAAATCCTTATTCTGGCAAAACCATTATTATTTATTTGTTTGGTATCTTTCAAAAAACTTTTGTGGCTTGAACCCTCATATCAAAATAAAATTTAAATAATCTCATCATTAAATACCTTATGCTGAATGGACAAAAGTAAATGACATCAATATGTGGACAATTTATAAAAACAGCAACTTAAAAGGCCTGGTCAGCCACATCCCCATTATCCAGATGTTCCTTAGAAGGAAGGCACTGAGCCACTCTTCATACCAGGCAGTGGCCAGAATTGGCCTGTTCTGTGCAGTAACTTGGAGACCAGCATTCCGGATGAGCTGATTCAAAAGTAATTATTTAGGGCAAAACGCATCCTAAGTAATGGCAACTTAGTAATAATAGTAATAATACTTAGTAATTATTCAGTACAGCTCAAAATTCCCTGTTCATACGAACTCACTGTTAAGAACTAAATTGTTTCCCATCCCCCGTGACCAAATTCATATGTGAAAACCCTCACCGCCAGTTCCTCAGAATGTGACTGCATTTGGAGATAGGGTCTTCAAATAGGTAATTAAGTTAAAATGAGGCTGTTTGGGTGTACCCTAATGCAATCTGACTGATGTCCTTTATGAGGATAGAGGGAAAGGGAGAGGAAATAGAGGATAAGGAAGAGGAGAAAGGGGAAAGGGGAGGTAAAGAGAGGAGGGAGGGGGGGAGAGGGAGAGGAAGAGATCAGACAGGGGCACACACACAGAGGCACTATGTGAAGATACCAGATCATCAGAAGACAGCCATCTGCAAGCCCAGGAGAAAGGTCTTAGAAGGAAGCAACCATGTCTATGCCTTAATCTTGTTCTTGACTCTAAAACTGTGAGCTGTTGTGTAAGCTACTCAGTGTTTCCTATGACTAAGTGGTATTTCGTTTGCTATGGCAATACTAACAAACTAATACTTTTTTTTTTTATACAGAGTCTCACTCTGTCTCCCATGCTAGAGTACAGTGGCATGATCTCGGCTCACTGCAACTCCTCCTCCCAGGTTCAAGCGATTCTCCTGCCTTCCTGCCTCAGCCTCCAGAGTAGCTGGTACTACAGGTGTGCACCACTATCCCCAGCTAATTTTTTGTATTGTTAGTAGAGTCAGGGTTTTATCATGTTGGCCAGGCTGGTCTCAAACTCCTGACCTCAAGTGATCTGCCCACCTCAACTTCCCAAAATGCTGGGATTACAGGCATGAGCCACCGCGCCCGGCCACCCATGAACTTTCAGAATAGTTTCTAACATGGAAAATCTACTTACCTACGAATCTTCTCTCTGCTTTTCAGCTGGGTAAAAATGAAGCAGGAAAAGATTGGCGAACTTTGCCAGCATCTCTCAGCTCAACCATGGATGGAGGGGATTTGGTCCGACCCTCTCCCTTCTCCGTTCACCACAGCTCTGTTCTCCAGCCTGACTGAGAGGGTGGGAAAACCAGTATTAAGCACGTATTTTCAAAGAACAATCAACTCTTGATTATCCATTATTAATGTGGACCAGAGCCTGCACAGAAAATTAAAATCCACATACATTCCAAACCCCAGTATTAGCCATTAATGTCAACATGCTCAAACACCTCAGACTTCATCAACCCCTGCTGTTTTCCTTTGAGGAAAAGCCTAGCAGTGTTATGAATTTATCTATTACCTTTAAATATCCATAAAATATCATGCAGTTGGGAAAGCCCCAACTCTTCTTCGATAGAATGTTCTAAAGTGTATTCTTAGGGGAGAAATGGAACTTTTATATCCCTGACTTATTTTTAAATTGCAAATGTTAATTTAACATTTTGTAACATGGCATGCAAAATAGTTGGTGTAATCTTTCATAATCCTGTGTTTTAAAGAGAGGAATAATGTATTTTCCCAGGTAAACCAACTAGAACCCACTAAAAAATTATCTCAGAATCATAATGCTGGAAGACCTCTAATGAATCATATAGTTATTTTCTTCCTTTCTTTCTTTCCTTCTTTCTTTCTTTCCTTTTTTCTCTTTCTTTCTTTTCCTTCCTTCCTTCCTTTCTTTTTCTTTCTTTTTTTCTTTTTTCCTTTTTTAGCAACAGATCTCTCTTTTCAAAATTATTGTGGAAGTTTGATATAGAAGAGATCTGAGCTTCTCTGATTGAAGTAGGTATGAACTGCCCATTCAGCCTCCTCATTGTCCCTTGAATTTCCTGAGATCTTAGGGCTGTAAAAAAACAAAAACAAAACAAAAAACAAACAAACAAAAAAACCAGAACAAAACCCACAGACCTATTTCCATTCATTTTACAGGTTTGGAAACCAAGGCCCAAATGAGAAACATCATCATGGCCAAGGCTGAGCATTTTATAATGGCATAGCCAGGTCTGGAGCCCAAATCTCCTGATCTGTGGTCCATAAACTTTGTCTGCATCACACTGTTGGTCACATTGACTTTGTTTTGTGTGACAAGTTGGGCCCCAGAACAGCTTTACTGCCTAACCAGTTCTGCAGCTTTCACCACCAGGAGCAGGCTTGTGTGCTGAGACACATCAGCATCAGTACATTAAGCAGATCTCTTCAATGCCCAGAATTCTTAGGCAGATTTCCAGATACCAGACGAACAACCTTGGGGTAAAGGTTATTTGCCTTGAAAAAATATCCATATATTCAGATCTAGTGGTTCTCCAACTTTAGTATCCCCTTTATGATTACTGGGGGCATTTGATAAAAATACAAATGCCAGAAGTTCTGATTCAGTAGGTCTAGGGCATAACCCAGGAATCTGTGTTTTAATAATGATCCCAGGTGGATCTGATGAAGTGGTCCCCAGACCACACTTTGAGATACACAGCTTTAATTGTTCTTTGTCATTAAAACCTTCCCCTGGAAGAACTGAAGTTGGCTCAGACTTCAGGAACTGCATGCTTTTAAACAAGCTTGCAATCTGACAAGAGCTTTAGCCACCACCACCACCGCCCCTCCCCCGCCAGATTCAGAGCATTATCCTCCAGATGGTGTCTTACTCTCACAGTGGCATCCTGCTAAATTCCACAGCGACTGGATGATCATCTCAGGTGGTCACACTGGGAGAAGCAACAGGAACTGATGTAAGGAACCAAACTTTGTTTTCATGCAAATGGTTTCCATGGAAAATTAAACAAGCAATAGAGACATACAAAAAGGTATTGTGTATATCAGTAACCAGAAAAAGTCTCTTATAGGATAGCTCATCTAAATTTGAAAGTACTATCAGCTTTGGAAGGTCTTGAGTTCAAATAGTAGAGGGGTAAGCCTAAGGAGCTGGGAAGCCCAGCAAAGGTTAAGATTTCAGGGCAATCTTAGGATTTGCACTGAGAAATCCTTGTGTCAGGCTGTGCCAAAACCAGATGTTTTTACTAGTAATTAGTATTATGATAATTCATTTAACTAGGAATAAAATAGGGCATGATTGTTTACTGCTGCCTGTTTCCCCAGACATGCAGAGAAATGAGAAGAAAAATCTCAGAGGTTTTACTCTTGGCTAAACGGAATGATTTTCTCAATTAACCAGGAATGAACACAGCAACAAAATAATTTGCCCTTACATTATAGAAGAGTTGTAAATAGACTTTTAAACACTTCCTTACATGTGGAAGTCAAGGTGGAAGATAGACTGCCAAGGAATTGAAAACATCTTGAGTTTGGTTTCCATCTGAAAAGACATAGTCCTTAGAAATCTACTCACGTTGTCAGCCATGGCATGAGACTTCCAAAAGCTATTCTTGGTTTCTCTTCTCTGTACTGAACCCTTTCCAAGGCCAAGAAATTGTGGGTTGAATTGTGGTAAGATGAAAGATGCTTCTGAGAGCTTAGGAGAAAAGTGTACAGGAGAGCAGAGAATGCATATCTGAGAGGAGGCTGACAGCATGGCTGGGCTTTTACATGAATCCTTAATATAAACTAAGAATCGATTGTGGGCAATGAACAGTGATCATGGCAGAGCACATCCCAGCAAGGGAGTTACTCTACTGTGACTGTGTCAGGCTGATGAATCCTGGGGGAACAGGACAGGGAGTGGTGGGGCACAGGGGCATGTGGCACCCTCACATGCACACCCTAGAAGAAAAACTATGTGTAACTGTCAAATTTACACAAAGCCAGCTAGACATTCTACAACATAAACCACTTCGTAAAGCATAAGGTACAGCCACATTTCTTCACTAGCAGGACAGAAACCGCATTTTGTCGCCTTAAAGATAATTTTTAAAAAGAGAAACTATGAGCACTTTTGCCCGAATAAAATCTCTTTTTATCCTTATAAATAAAAATACTCTTTTTCCGTCAGTAGTTGTATCTCTTTGATACCCTCCTGCATTCTCTGCTACCACTGCCTTTTCCTTTACCTCACTCAGGATTTCTCCAAGAGGTTGAACAGGAGACATTAGTGTCTCTGGGTTATGAGATGTGACTATGTTACAACATGCGATGACGTTTGTGTTCAGGACCAAGGACAGTGACCCCCGCGCGAGCTTAGCCACTGCTCCCAGCCCCCTTTCTTTGCCCACTCCCTAACATTTTAGCCACATTATATCTATGAGCAGAGGAGTGTGGACCATGTTGTTCAAATTAGAAACCAAAATAGGGCTTAATTACAGTATAAGAAACAGTGCTTTTTCCACCAATGTCCACTTTTTACCGCTCAATAAATACATATTGAGGAATGGGACCTGTAAAACTCAGTGTTTCTTCCCTACTTCCTTGGGTAAGTCTCCCAAGTGGCCTTAGACCTGAAGATGGCAATTGCAGATTTGGGAAAACAGAGGGCTGAGTACTCTTGTCCGAGCCCTACAGCCACAATACAACTTACAAGCTCTCCTTGGTTCTCCCATGTGTGGGCTGGCTCCGCACCACCTTAGTGTGTCTGTGAGATCATCATGACCTTTGAAAGAAGCCCAGTCTGAGGCATAAGAACCAGACAAACAACCATTCTGTCCATTTCTGGGCCCACCAGTGTCTTGAAACTAGATATTCAACTCTCAAGAAGCCATAAGTAGTAGAAAACTTGCTTCTTTTTGCACCTTCTGGATTAAGGTCAGAGCACACACATCTCCTGGAATAATGTGCTTTTGCAAGATAGAACAGAAGGTACAGAGGATATAAATACCTCACAATTCTGTTAAATACCTTTATTTATAGAAATGAAAGTTAGGAAGCAGGATTATTGCTGCAATATGAAGAAAGTAGAAACTAATTAAAAATGAACATTTTAGCATGCTATCAAAGGGCTAGGGCTCTTTTTGAAGGTGTCCTTTGCAAACAGAAAGAGGTTACAGCATGGAGAGATTATTCTTCTCCTGATTTTCTCTCTCTCTCTCTCTCTCTCTGTGTCTCTCTTTCTCTTGCATACACACACACACACACACACACACACACACACACACACAACCATATACCTCAGTATATTTAGAATACTGACGTCAAAGAGAAAGATAAAGGGATAGCAGGTCCTAGCTAACCCCAGATTCTTACGTGCATTGTCTCCATTTTAAAAGTGAGATGAAAGATGGAGAATTTCAAGTAAGTCTAAAACCTGCATCAAACCTAACAAGGCATCCAGGTGCCAAGGGTCATGTTCTAGGTCTTGACAGGGTGAGACAAAGCCAAACAGCAAGTAGTCACTGCACAGTAGCATTGCTCATTTGGAGACACTAAAGAGAGAAAGAGGCACTAACAGCAGCCCAGCAACCTGACCCAGGGGCTTCCCCCACTGGCTGGGTATAGACTTCCACCTGAACCTGCCCAGGGTTACCATTTGCTTCTTGGACAGCATCACAGTGAAGAGCTCTGCAATCCTGGCACTGTGTTCTCTCAACCAACAGTCACAGAGCTTTTAATATACACAAGGACATCTGCACAGCACCCAGGTTACAGCAATAAATCAGAATGCAGCTACCTAGGAAAGGAGTCAGACAGGAGCAACTGCATGCCACTATCTTTTTTATTTTTTTAATAGAGAAAACATAAACTTGAATAGCAAAACTAAAAACATTTTTTACAAACAAAACCCATATCATGGCCGGGTATGGTGGCTCACGCCTGTAATCCCGGCACTTTGGGAGGCCGAGGCAGGCGGATCACCTGAGGTCAGGAGTTCGAGACCAGCCTGGCCAACATGGCAAAACCCTGTCTCTACTAAAAATACAAAAATTACCCAGGAGTGGTGGTGCACGCCTGTAATCCCAGCTACTTGGGAGGCTGAGGGAGGAGAATTGCCAGAACCTGGGAGGCGGAAGTTGCAGTGAGCTGAGATTATGCCATTGCACTCCAGCCTGGGCAAAAGAGCAAGACCCTGACTCGGAAAAAAAACAAAAACAAACTCATATCATGTGGTAATGTTAATTACTGAAAGTAAAATATGACCCATTATTTTCTGCCATTGAAAAATTGTCCTCTGTGACACCTACAGGCTCTGAAATAGTTTACTCCTTTGGGCTGGGAAACACTGGCCTTCCTTATACTCCTAAACAGAAAACATCTCTCCTATTTTTCTTATTCCCTCCCCCAAATGGTTAACAAACCCCAAAGCTCTCTCTCAGACTTTGGTTCTCCTCCCTGAAAAGATTACCCTCCAGCAAAACAAGACACTGCACAGGCCGCTTGGGGGGAGCTTGTCAGTTCTTTGCTTTTCCCAAGACTTATTAATTTGGGCAGGACCTTAGGAAAAGGAAGAAGGGAGTGGGGCCAAGAATTAATCTACTCTGAGCTGTGGTGGGTCTAGAAAGGGGCCCTACCACTTGTTCGTTTAAACTCCTGCTATTTTCACCTCTCAGGGGCTCTGCCTCCTCTTGCCAAATTAACCATGCTAAACAGAGTTGGATTTCTAGCAATACAATGCTCGCATCTAGGGTATCTTTCTGGAAGGTAAGCAATCTTGCCATTGATTCCCCCAGGCACTTGGTGCATAATGTTAGCTGGATTTCGATATTGTTGTGAAACTCTGTGGTCTTTTGGAAATGCTTGTGTAGGTATCCCTGCTTAATGGATGTTGGTTACCCTCACAGAGGAAGCCAACTTTCTCCCCTAGGATTTGCGCAGAGTAATTTCCCTCAAGCTATTATTACCTCAGGAACTGGTCTCCTAGGGATGAGCTGAATCAAAGCCCAGTCAAACTTACTTTCCCTTCCAAAGGAAGACGCCCCCTTTAGGTTGCTGAGGCCTGATTCACATGTTTATTTACGGAGGAAGCCTCTGTTTCAGGGGCCAGTCGTTTTCTCTTGGAGAGGCAAAGCTAATTTCAGCCACCTGAGTGTTATAAACAAACACACAATGCGTGAAGGTAAAAATGCAGGTCAGGTGGGGCCCTCACACCTCCTAACATAACCCACTGATGCTGCTAAAGGGAGAATCTCAGAGGAGCAGAGGTGGTCTTCCTCTCAGACACAGCCCCATTCTGACCATTCACAAAACCCACTATCCCAGAGCCGCAGCACTCCTGTGTGCCTTCACCTTTGCTCTCTGACCTCCAAGGCCCTCCCTCTATCACCAGCAATCTCCCTTCCGGTGGAAACAGGGATAAATCTCCATTTTGGGAGAAATGATTTTCAGCCAGACCAGCGAAGCCCTCCAAGGCTCTCAGTTGGGTGGAAGCTCCTCCGGGTCCCAGAGGGGATTACATAAGGATCTGGGGAGAAATTCAAATCCTGGATGGCAGCTGCAAGGGCTGAAATGAACCAGCCTATTACCCAGCACCTCTCTGACGGTGAGGGTTAATTTATCACATGGAATCCAATCACTTCTTATAAAAACCAGTGCAGGTTTCATTTAGTTTGATGAGGTATATTGCAAGATTTCAGAAAATCAATTTTACTGAGAGCCCTATTAAGCCCCAGGGAATATAACACTACATGTACCTCACATAAGTTTTTGTTATTACCCAGCGCATCACTGGGGAAATTATATACTTAGCCCAATGAAGGGTAATGACTGCCTTCATTGTCTTGGGCAGCTCCCACCCTGCTTACCTCAGTGAAATAACAAATAAAAATGGTAGGGCTCCAAATTGGTACTTTGAGTCAGAGGCATGATAAGAGTGAGCAAAAGCAACTTAATTTTCCAAACATCTGAACTGCTTACAGTATGGGGTATGACTAGCCCATGCTATAAAATACCAGGCATTATGGATACCTCCTATTTTGACCAAAGCCCTATTCTGACGGAGCCCCTTAGCTTGAGTTCTCAGAGTAGTAGTTGCAAAGGATGCAAATTGCTTTAAACTGATCTGCCAGTTTAATATTTCCAGAGAGTTATATTTCTTAGTAAGAAACTGTTCCACTGTGGCTAAGGAACATTCCTATCTATGCTCATCTGGTCTCTTGGATACTTTTGTATGCAAAGCAATAAACCAGGCTCACTTTTATGGGGCCCCCAACTTGAAGCTAGTGTCAGGGAGTGAATCCCCAAGCCAACCTTTGCGATAGCTTCCTTCTCCAAAAGTCAGTTCGAATTGATAGCAGAGCGTGTGGAGTGTGTGTGGTAGGTGGGGGAATGGTATGGTAGACCAGTCCTACTGGATCTCACAAATATCAGAGCTTCTCTTATTTATCTGTGGTCTAGGACTGTGCTGTCCAATATGGCAGCAATTATCCACATGTAGCCATTTAGATTTAGATTACTTAAAATCACGTAAAATTTAAAATTCAGTTCTTCAGGTGCACTAATCACATTTGCAGTGCTTAGTAGCCACATGTGGTGAGTGGCTACTGTATTGGACAGCACAGATCTAGAACATTCCCACTATTGCACACTGTTCTGTTGGATGTTGCTGGGTGGCCATGCAAGTAGCCATTCAGCTCTAGGGACTTGGTGGTGATTACAGGGGCCTGAGAGTTCAGTTCAGGCTGAAGTCATTTCCCATCAACTCCCAAGTG